GGCCAGTTGTTTCTTGCACTGACCCTCAGTTGGAGTTCATTTGATATCATGATAAAATCAGGTTATAAAGTTTTGACTGGAATAATACAAAAGTAGCATTGTATTCTTCCTAGGATTCGTGATGTTACTACTCATTGTCAACTTGACAAGACTGAGAGATTATGGCGATTAGTAAATCTCTATATTATGGTGATTAGTAAAATACACCACCCCATGTTCACCAAGTATTTCCAGAGAGGGCTGCATCATGACAGCTCTGATGTAATCAGTGGATTGATCCCTTGCTGAGATCATAACATGACAGTCTTATTGGGATGTAGTAGCAGGTAGAAGGTAGGGAAATGTCCTCAGGGCTAGATTTTGCCCCGGAGTCTTTCTTTATCTCCTCTCACTTTGCATCCTACTTGCTATGAGGTGAACTGCTTCCATCACACACTTACATGGTTATGATGTTCTACCCAAACACATGAGGCCAATGATGTTCCACCTGAACACATGAGGCCAATGATGTTTCTTCATTCAAACACATGAGGCCAATAATGTTCTACCCAAAAACATGAAGCCGATGATGTTCCACCCAAACACATGAGGCCAATGATGTTCCACCCAAACACATGAGGTTAATGATGTTCCACCCTAACACATGAGGTCAAGCAATTATGGACTGAACCCTCTGAAACCGGGAGCCAAAGAAAGCTTTTCTCACTTAAGCTTTTCTCTCAGGTAACTAACTAATACAGGGATAAGAGGAAAGTGGAGTTTATCTGTCACACTGCTGTGTTTATTACTCAGGTAGAACATTAGTCACTAGATTTGTGGACTATAGTTACTGTTCTCTGTGTGATAGATACACTTCATTCCCCCCCCCCATTTCAGTTGTCATTATTGTTGCTGGTCTTAATCAAAACTTACTATCTAGCTTTACCATGTACTATTGATTGTGTCTGGACCAGCAGTGTTCTTATTTTAAAAAAAACAATCCTTCTCTAATTCCATAGTTTGTCTTTGCTATTTATTAGTTGGTATCTTCCCACAATACAAAGATTCCCTTTTATCATTTGATTATTCCCTTAAACAGTTGCCTGCGAATATTCTTATTTTGTTCCATAAACATCTTATTCTATCATTTATTTTGATGCTCAAATTGTCAAAGATTAAACTCAATGTCCCTTTCATACTTTCTCATGATTTTCTCTGTTTCCTTGCCAGCTGGTACATAAAAAGATACCCCTGTCCTAGCACCAACATGATAATTTCTTCAAGTTTGCCAGTCATTTCAGGATGTGAATAAATTAAAAAGACTAAGGTTTGGATGTTAGGTATGCTCATTGCTTGGGCATATATTTGCATCTAGGCCCTTTTGAGTGGATAGAGTACACACACACACACACACACACACACACACACACACACACACACACTATAGGGTGGTGGTGGACAGGGAGGAGAGAGGGAGAGAGAGGGAAGAAAAGGAAGAGAGGAAAGAAAAGGAGAGAGGGAGGGAGAGAGAGAGAGAGAGAGAGAGAGAGAGAGAGAGAGAGAGAGAGAGAGAGAGAACTAATACTGGTAACCACTTGTAATTCAACACTACTGAGTAAATTCTAGTCTTCCTTCCTTATGTAAACTCCTTTCTCATCCCCAGGGTATCTATCCATTTTTTTTTTTTCTGTTGTACCATTCTTTAACTTGCACTGCTGGGAAAAAGAATCTTTCTCACCGAAGTTCAATATTTATTTGTTTAGGTGTTTAGAACAGGGTCCTATAACCAAAGGCCTGCTTTTTCAGGGCCGCTTACTTTCTGAAAGCACTGTCTTTTGTGTGTGTGCTTGTTATTTTATTTGCTTTAACCTATACAGCTAGGTTCTGCTGTTCCTGATTGTATTCTACCCCCCAATCACCTTTGTTTATTTTACTTAAAAGAAAAACACTTTTTTAAGAGTCGAAGTTCTGTAAAAAGTTCTCAGAGAAGTGCCATCACTCTTTCATTCCATTTCCTTTTTTAATCCAGGAACCAGTTTTATTAGTTTCTAATGCATTTATTCATTTATTTTTAATAAGCATATACATGTAAAATTCTTTTTACTTTCCTTCTTACAGAAAAGATATCACTCTGTATCTAATCTTTGCTTGTACACTTTTTAATTTATATCATATTCTAAAGATAATGGATATTACTTCATATATCTTTCTCATGTTAAACTATCTATATAATGTCTCATTATGTTTATTATAATTTATTTAATCAGTTATTATATACAGAAATTTATGTTGCTACCAATGTTTTATAGTATGTATGTAATGTATAATGTTGCAATGGGGATTTTTGTTTTATTTAAGGTGTAAATCATGACTTTTAAGTGAGCTATTTTTTTCTCGAGTGAAGCACATGTAGAGTCATTGAATGTATAAAAACAAATGTTTCTATGAGACTAAGCCGACTGAAAGGTGTATAGGATTATATGGTCTGGAAAACTGCAACTACATTTTGTGTAAGTAAAAATCATACCATATATTTGTATAACAGCAAGGCAAGTGGGGTCTCTAGGAAGCATAGGTAAAGTTGATTAGATTGCAGTGTATACTTAAACGTTGAATAATGTACCCTTGTAAAACACTCTTCAAAATTATTTAACTTCCCATGATATCATCACAGCATGTGCAAAAAAAACCCTTTAACGTTATCTTTTCCTGTCACATGACTAGAGCAAACAAAAGAAATCCTTATCTTTTTGTTTCTATTCTGGTCTTTTATAAAATAGCATTAAGTACCATTTAAAACTTGCACATTAAAGCTCTGATTGTGGGTTAAAAAAAGTTTATTTTGCATTTCAGACAAATTGCATTTGCTGAATTATAAAGTAAAAAATAAAAACATCCTGCTCAACAATTGAAGTTGTGCAGGACTTTATACATAGAGGAAACTTAATAGTTTTAAAACCTTGTTCCAATGTGTATTTTCACATTTATGTCTCATAGCAACCTTGGGTACAGCGAACTATGGAGTGGTGCTGTCTTTATTCTACAAATAAAAGATGTTAGACTCTGAACTAAAACCCAACAGAATATAGGACTTTCTCCCTTAATAACCTGGTTATACTTATCTCTCTTTTGGGTTATTGTTGTGATAGAAAATACACAAAAATACTAAGGCACACAAAGACAAAGGAGGTCTGTTATTGTATTATTTGGGCTTTGGTGACTATGCTTGAAAAGGTGTGTGTGTGTGTGTGTGTGTGTGTGTGTGTGTGTGTGTGTGCATATAATACTAGAAATTTAAGAATTCTAATAGCTATAAATTAAACACCAGACTGAAAGTTTTCATGTGAGGAAATACATACTAAACTAATACTTCTAGAAGCAAGTGGCAATGATATCTTCATTGTGGAATATTAACAGTGTTATATGTTGCATAGAACTTAGTTCTTGAAACAAACCTCATTAAAAGGCACTTGATCTCAGTCTAAAACCTTTAAGCATCCCCTCTTTAAATGTGATCAATGTATGTTCTGGCTACCTGAATTATCCTGCTATGAGATTCACACAACTTTGATCTAACTTTCTTTGATTTAGCACTGCAATTAAGAAGATTTGGTTCAAAGTAAAAGCCCATTGGCTGATGCTTTACACTGATGTGATAATGTTTACACAGATGTGCTTTGAAATCTTGATTATGGTGGATTTGGGGGTCTCACCACAAAACAGGCTGCTGTTATTGGAAAGGTAAAATAACATGACATTTACCTGGTGCAACCTTAAAAAACACTTATCAATATATGTTTCTAAAGTAATTGATCTGCTTGCTGTTTATAGCCTGGGCTTTTGTTTTATTTTGTGTCTATCAATAGTAAATCACTTGCTTTAAGGACTCTTTTATAACCTGGTTCCACAAGGGTCAGTAGTTAGGCCTGGAGTGACAAAAAAGTGTCACTTTACCTCCTTTAGAGCACCTGCCAATTAATTATCCAAAGGAGAGGGAGGATGAAGGGAAGGAGGAGGGAGAGAAGGAGAAGAGGAGGAGGAAGGGAAGGAGACAACATTTAGAGAAAATAAAATAAACCCAGTCAAATCCATCTGAGCTCCCAGAGTTAGGATTTTGCTGAATAAAGCACAAAACAAGACTGAAATTCTAATATTAGCTATTCTTTACAACTCTCTGCATAGGGAAAAAAATAAATTTGACCAGCAATTCTCCATTTTTCTGCCACCTGAAGATTTCACTAGCTGGCTCTCGAGGCTAGCTAGTCATACAGAGTTTTAACATTTAAGATACATGTACATATATGTCTAACTCCTTCAGGTCAATTCTTGTTTTGCAAGTATGTTTGGGTATTCTTAAATTTGACCAATAATTTTTGAAATCTCAGACACTCATCAAGAACCAATATTATTTCTGTTTAGTTGTATACTTGAAGTGTGAATTAAAAAAGGAAGAAAAGCTAGCTTCTAGGAAATTGTCACTAAGAAAAATGAAGTGCTCTTAGACTGGATAAGGGTCCAGAGGCGTCTATCGTTTATGACACGATTCCTGACATTCTTTTTGTATTCACGGCAAACCATAGAAATGCGAACCAGCCTATTTGGATGTACTCGCCATCCCTCGATTCCCGATTATACTGCGCTATTTCATTATTCTAATGAGAAGCCCAGGACCTCCACACACACCATTTATGAGTTCCGTATAGATAGAAGGCAGTCCTGGTTATATCATTTGCTGAGTTAAGATAAACATTAAAGAGAACTTGAGAAGGTGGTGGTGGGGGGGCAGGGTGTTCCCAACCTAAGCTTGATTATGTAAAGAAAATCCCCCATCTAAATGATAAAAGAAAAGAGTAATGCTTGTACATTTTATTAGTGTTTTAAAATTAGTGAGTTGAACTGTCAAAGCTTTGATTTTCCTTTCATGTGTGTCTGGGCAGGCCTAAGCCTCGGGTAACGCCCCTTCCCTTCCCCTTCTCCCTCCTTGCTTTTCTTTGCACCTGTCCACTGCAGGTTCCCAGCAGCTCCCAAGGAGTCCAATTCTCTTGTACGCTCTTTTTCCTCCTCCCACCCATCTCCGGTTCTGTACCCCCTCCCCCTTCTGTAGCCTGCAAGCTGGGCTCCTTCCCCCAGCTCCCTATCTCTCTGCAAATGAGCTCACATCAAAGGTGGGTTGGACAGCAGCAGCGGCCAGACAACACCCTGGTTGTCCCAGAGACAACCCAGAGGACCAGGGGTGTCGGCGGAGCCTCCCCGAATTTGCTGGCTGACTGACTTTGGCCAAGCGCAAGAAAGGAGTTTTCCAAGTCCTGGGTTGGTTTAGTCACTTCCGAAGAGCAAAAAAAAACGTGTTGAGAGGAGGCTGGTTTAAGATTTCAAACAAAACCAACCTCCCAGGCGCGCTTGAAAGGACTTGATTAGCATATGTCAAGAGGACCCGCATATATACCGGGAGTGTATGTACACAGGACTCTGATCTGATCAGTTTGCTGAGCTGGAGCCCCAGCCCCCAGCCCCAGCCTCAAATCAGCAGCCTCAGCTCTAGATGTTTCTGCAAAGCCAGCAGCCAGCTCTCACCTACCCAAGGAGAGAAGATCGCTTCCAAGACAGTGCAGTGCACTGTCCCTGCAGAGACCTCACAGGAGTAACCCAGCCTTAACTTTTTGTGCCTATTTTGCTATAATTTTTCCGCATTAGCCTCGCCACCCTTGCTACAGTTTTGATTGGGGTTCTCTTGTTTTCCGGAAATTCAACCTTTCTGTCCGGGGCCCCTCCATGGCTCCCTTAACCGAAGTCGGAGCCTTCTTGGGCGGCCTGGAGGGTTTGGGCCAGCAGGTGGGGTCGCACTTTTTGCTGCCTCCTGCAGGGGAGCGGCCGCCGCTGCTAGGCGAGCGGCGGGGCGCGTTGGAGCGGGGTGCCCGAGGCGGCGGGCCGGGTTCGGTGGAGCTGGCGCACCTGCACGGTATCCTGCGCCGGCGGCAGCTTTACTGCCGCACCGGCTTCCACCTGCAGATCCTGCCCGACGGCAGCGTGCAGGGCACTCGGCAGGATCACAGCCTCTTCGGTAGGTACAAGCATCCCGCCCCGCCCTTGTGCCCTCAACTCCCTTCCTCTTCTTCTCACCTCTCTCCCTCCACGCCGGCGGAATGAGCAAGGGCTGCCTGAGCCCCTAGACCCATGGGGTGCGAGGTGCTCTGGGCTTGGGAGAAATTGTCCTGCCCTGGAGGAGCGCAGCTCCCCATACAGGGCGTGGGAGGAGAAAGCGTGGATGGGTTCCTCACCCGGGGGCACGATGCTGCTCTGTTTTCTCTACTGCCTGGGGCCCCAAGTCTTGGACGAGGAACCATGTTTTACCCCACCTAACCCGCCCCCAGCTTTACCCTGCAGTCCTTGCTACGTAGGCAGTTTTATTATAAGAGGTACCTATATCGTGTTCTCTTCCTTACACACTTGTAATTCTGTGTCCACTTTTTGGAAATTAATAACGGGAAGCATCCCGTATCTTAAAGCATGCCCCGCAGTTACGCGGCTAATCCTCCGGTTTCTCACTCTGAAGGATGGTTCTTAAACAGGATGTGACTCTTCACAGCTCTACTTGGAGGACTGCCTGACTGCAGTTTTCTGAGTTCCTGGCTAGGGGGTGGGGGGTGGAGGGAGATGGAGAGAGGGAGGAGGGAGAAGGACGGAGCATGCCCACCTGGCCAAGTCTCCCTTTAGAAATTGCGAAACTCGAAAGCAGAGATCTTGGTATTGACCTTAGGTACGAGGAAATGGGAAAGAGAAAGAAGATACGGCTGGGAACACAGAGAATCGTTTCTGCATACAGCCAGCAGTACCTGGGAGCAGAAGGGGTTAATAGGATGAAGCTGATTCTAGATTAGATCAGTAAAGTTTCTACTGTTCCTTACTCCTGGGCCAGCCAGGTAGCTAGCAAGCGCTCTCCTCAGTGTGAGTCCTGCTTCCTTGCTTGTACAACAGACAAGATAGGTTAAATCCCATGGTTTGCTAAAGGTGCCTTTTGGTTCTAATATCCCGGGATACTTCCCCTGTGGCTATTTTTTTTTTTTTCTCATCAGTTAACCTGCTAACATGCTCAAGGGACTTTCCTTATCTAACCTGTGATGTCATTGGAGGGTGTCATTATATTAAAAAATACATACATAATATCATTTATTTGTCGCCAGCATGAGGAAGCCCTACACAACTTTTTTTTTTTTCTACAGTATATCATCTCGGTGTCGCTCTTTCTTGTCTCATGCTCGTCTTAGCCTTACACTCCCATTTCTTTTCGCACTTGCAGCGCTCATTAAAACTTTGGAGAGTGTAAATCTCCACTTCAGGAGCATTTGTAACCTTAGATGGGAGAATAAGCATGTGGTGGTCATTTGGCAGCACTTAAGGGCTTAGAAAACTTGACTTTTAAAAACCCACGTGTTTGCAGCTTCCACTGATCTCTTCCAAATTCCCACTGACTGTGAGTCAAGAGTGTCATGACCTAGTGGCCAACCTGGGGTCACTTTTGGAAAGTGTTTTTTAAATGGAGGAGGCTGACACCGAAGAATTTGCTGACCAGGTGGCCCACTGACTGACTGTAGAATGACTGTAGCCTACTCCTTACATAAAAATCTCCCGAAATGTGCTAACTCTTTCAGGCAAAGCAGCTGAGAGTTCAATGTAAGCAATATCCGACTTTCCCCCCTCATACCAATAGAGTAAGAAAATTCTTCTTATAAGCCACTTGTAATGTAATTGTTACCTCTTCCTCGGGTGTGTTCTATCTCCTTAGAAGACAGATTCTGTTGGAATAGATTAATGAATACTCGCAGACTTGGTAACCTTCCTTGAGCTGCATTGAAATCTGATCCTTTAGGAATGGGTGTGGCATATTTTTATTAGGATACCGTAAAGCTTATATGTTGTATGATTGTTTAGGAAAATATGACTTTGATTCTGTGTTGGCTTAAGTCACACTTTGGTGGTAGGTTATATAGAGGAACAAAATAATCACTGTTATGTAAAGGGAAGACAACCCATATTAGTGTGTGAGCCTAAAGTAACAGTCTCTTTATGATACCTTAAAGTGCTCTAAATATCACAACTGACTGCCAGAGGATAGGGGACAAGGTCAAATTTAATGTATGCAATGTGGTGTGCTTCTCCATCCTCTTTTGCTAGTGCCTTAATAACTAAGCATTAAATGATATCCATTAAAAAAACCTCACTTCTGTGATGTTAAAATAAGAATTTTGAAAAAACCCTCAATGATGGCTACTTAAGATATTAAATATCACTAAAATAGTTTTATGATAATTTAAACACAACAAATAAAAACTCAAATTTTTAAAAATTTAAAACCATATCTACTGAACTTAAACAGAGAGTTCTCAGTGAGGCCAAAATAATATCTCATCCGAGCTACCTGGATCTCTCTAGCAGAGTTTTTCTGCACAGTAGTATAGAAGGAAGACTTTACCTAACACGTAAACATAGAATCATTCCTTTAGAAAAAAGTGTAGCCTGAGATCAAACATATTCATTTAAAGCCTTTTCCTTTATTCTCCTCTGTTCTCCATAGATTTGTCTGATGTGGTTGCATTGTGGGTTGACTCACCTGTTTATTATGATTTGAGAAAAGGCTGGCTTTGAAAATGATACCAGAAAGACAAAGGACCTCCAAGTCTTTTTATGGGACACTGGGCATTAGAAAATCTACCTAAAATCTGTGATTACCTCTTAAGGAAAGTGCTTCATGTCTATTCTTTGGAAGAGAATTAGCTTAGTTGCCACCTCATATTATAAATAAGAAAGACTTGTCACATCTCATTTAAGAATCAAACGATTACAAATTACTATGTGGTATACTATTTCTTTGGTGAGAAAAAGGATCAGAATTTAAAAGTGTGGCTAAAATCTTTAGGAGGGGCACAAAAACACACGTAATCTTTTCCCCATCAGTTCCATGAGCCATTGCAAAATCATTTATGCCTGGTTATGTATAAGGTTTTACATGTTGTTTAATAAAGCTAAAACTATTGGATATAATTATTCTAAAGATGTGTAATCATTTTTACTTATGTAATTACATATTTTGGACAGCATTATCTTAAGATAAGATTTAATGTGTAGGTGGAGTGTGTCCTGGGGTAGAAACATTGGGTATACAACAGCCACACATAGTTTTTAATTTGAGTGAATATTCAATATAATTTAAAGTAATTACACATTTATAATTATATCCTGGGTGAGATTCCATTTATATATATTTATGCCAATTATGGTTCAGGTTTATATTTTTGTTCCTAACATGGAACTTTCACTGAGGAGCTTGGCAGTGAGTGTGATTTTCCTCCACTATCCCTCAGTCCACAGCTGCATTGTGCTGGTGTCCTGTGGAGTCTAGACCTTCCTGCTGCATCCTATCTTCCCTGCTTCAGCCTCTCAATCAGGGAGACTGGCTCTTTCAAACAATTTACAGGCTATGTAGTAGTGCATTGTGCTGTAAGATCCCTGATAGTCTAGAGTTCGACTAGTATGAAAGTCCTAATAGTTCCAAAGAGCTCATCCATCTTACTAAGAATCTATGCTGTGCATTTTTTTTTGGCCAAAGAGCAAATTAATAATCTCTATGTAGAACAGAGCTTTCCATATCAGCAAACAGTCAGATTCTGTACTTTCTCTTGGCTTTGGGAGTATCATGTGTCCAAACAGGAACTTGTACAATAAATCAGGAAATGACTTAAGAGCAAGAGTCAGGCTAAATGGTACACATTTATGCTATTTGTAAAGCTTAGGGTAGGGTGAAGACAAAAAGTTATAAAGGAAGGTAGGTCCAAGCACAGTACATATGGTGACACTTGTTCAGCATTCTAAGGAAAGGACCAGAAAAAGGCATCAGTGGTCCAAAGGTTTGTGTGTACAGCAAAAAAAAAAGGGTGTCACACAGAGACACACTGTCTTCTTAAACTGTAGTTTGTTAATGTATTAAGTTCAGAACTTTCAAAATTAGTTTATCTCTTCTTACATCAAAATAATTCCAGAAAATTATGCATAGAAAAATCGATTTATATGCTAAACTCTGGGTATCTGGCTATCATATAAAATGAATTATAAAGCCTTATTATTTCTCTGAACTGAACATTTTATTTTTATATCTCATGGAATAGGATATAGCACATTTTTGTAATCTACAAAGTCGAGAAACTATTGTACCCTCACATGTGTCTTAGAATCATTAGATTACGGTTCAGAAAATGTAAGTTCAAGCACCATTTTTATCAGTTACAAAGGTCATATCCCATGGTCATGTTACAAAGGCATTTCAGTCAATGTTTTTGAGCCTCAGTTTCTTTCTATCTAACACGGGAATAAAAGTATCTTCCTCCCTTATTATCAGAGAATTTTTGAAGTTGAGGTAAAAATTAATTATTAGCTCTTTATTTTTTAAATTTTTATTCTATGTGCATGTGTGTTTTGTCTGCATATATGCCTGTGTACCACATGTGTACTGCAGTGCTCACAGAAGCCAGAGAAGGCATCAGATCCTCTGGAAATCAAGATGTATCTGGTTGTTCTCTGCCATTTGGGTGCTGGGAACCAAACCTGGGTCCTCTGCAAGAACAATGTCTTAGGTTTTCCATGGTTGTTATAAAACAGGAATCAAAAGGAACTTGGGGAAAGAAAAGATGCATTTCATTTGCAATTCCCAGGTTACTAGTGAAGGAAGCCAGGTCAGGAGCCTGGAGGAAGGAATGTTGTTTACAGGTTTGCTTCTTATAGCTTACTAAGTTTGATTTCTAATGGCACCCAGGACCACCTGCCCAGGGAATGAACTATCCATATTGGGCTGGGCCCTTCCATATCAATCATCAGTCAAGAAAATTACCATGGCTTTGCCCACAGGCCAACCTGATTAGACGCTTTTTCTCCATTGAGGTTCCCTCCTCTGAGGCGACTCTAGCTTGTGTCAACTTGATAGGGAAAAAATCAACACAAGCTGCAAGTACTCTTAGTTGATGAACCATCTTTCCAGCCCAGAAGAAGCTTTTTAGAAGCTTTGAAATAATGTTATACCCATATGAAGTATAAGAGATTGGTCTGATTCTTATAAATGAGATCAAAATAATTCATGGAAAACGGTTATAATTAACTGGTAGAACCATGGAAGACCAGAAGTAACTTTGTCACCTATTCATTTATGATGACAGTAGCTTCCATTTATTTGTGGAATGAATGCTTTAAAGTGCTGATCTTTATCACTGTCCTTCCTGTAGTTATATGTTCATTAATCAGTCCAAATCTTTAATTTGTTTAAAAATTCAGGTATCCTGGAATTCATCAGTGTGGCAGTGGGACTGGTCAGCATCAGAGGCGTGGACAGTGGTCTTTACCTTGGAATGAATGACAAAGGAGAACTCTATGGATCAGTATGTATTATCATTTTTGATTATTATTATAATTCTTAAAATTATGATTTTAATTAAAGTGTCTATCTATAATGACTGGTAAGCATTATTATATGTGACTGACATAAATTATATATGTCTACATACTTGTATAAAAATTAGAAACTAATATCCTAAATTTAAGTGTGTTGAAGTCAGAGTATAGTCATTCAATATTATGTTTTAAGTTTTCAACCATTATTGCCATAATCTCACCTGGTCTTCCTGTCCATTGTCCTGAGTCTTTCCAATTCCTCTGTATTTTGATCATCCTACCAGAAATAGAACATTAGGTGTCAGCTCTGGAAAAACAAACGAACAAAAAAAGATTCTAATGTATGGTGATCTGAAGATAGAATTAGAAAACAATTGATAGAACTTTGAGAAAGTACACGCACACAGTGTTCATGGTATGTGTTGAAATAAATAAACAATTGAGGTCTCACCTTTAAAGTATATGTATATATGAACACACACACACACACACACACACACACACACACAGAGAGAGAGAGAGAGAGAGAGAGAGAGAGAGAGAGAGAGAGAGAGAGAGAGAGAGATTTTGAAAATAAAAGAAACCATTGAAGTTCTACTTCATTTTCCTTGATATTAATAGTAGCATACTCAGAAGCTAACCATGGGAAATTTAATCATTGAATAATACATTTATAAGATGATATCTGATTTGAAGTGATGAACTTGAGTTAGGAATTTAAATTGTAGCAAGGTTTTGAGTTTTCCAACTTGGTAGCAGAGATTTAATGTTCCTGCCTTTGGTATCTAGCTCATGATGAGACAAGATAAACTACAGACCCACTTAGTGATGGGGGCAGGAAGGAGATAATACAGAACACAGGAAAGCTCAAAATATTTATTGCATGTTTGAAAATAAAATCAAAAGTTGGAATATTTGGTATAAAGTTCCTTGAACTACTGGATAAAGTGAAATAGAGAAAAGAATTGCACATGATGTATGAACAAAATCAAAACAAAACATTGTAATTTAACTTGACAAGGATATAGCTATAAGCAAAGACATACTATAGAGTTGAGACTTTTATGGAGAACTTAATTTGAAGGCATTTCTAAAAGGCTTTCTTTCTTTTCTCTTTTTTTTTTTAAAAAGGAGAAATTGACTTCGGAATGCATCTTCAGGGAGCAATTTGAAGAGAACTGGTATAATACCTATTCATCCAACATATATAAGCATGGAGACACTGGCCGCAGGTATTTTGTAGCACTTAACAAAGATGGAACTCCAAGAGATGGTGCCAGATCCAAAAGACATCAAAAATTTACTCATTTCTTACCAAGACCAGTGGACCCAGAAAGAGTTCCAGAATTATACAAAGACTTACTGATGTACACTTGATGAACCTGGAGCCATTATTTTTAAGTCACAGTTTCTGTTAAATAACACTGAAGATGTTCAGAATATTACAAAGTCTGTTTTTCACTGAGAGACTGCATTTGTGAAGAATATTGAGAATAAGGAATTAACTTGAAGCAAAGCAAGATCATTCCTCATAAATGGATTATATTTCCTCAGACTCATTGGCCCAGTCTTACCAGCTGACTGAAGCTGAAATCAGTTAATCTGTGGATAATGTGAATCTTGCTGCTGATGCCTCACCTCTCTGGATAATGTTTACTTTGGACATTTACCTTAAGAATAGATACTTCATGTTGAAGAAGTGTATCAAAATGACATAATTACTGCCTCATAAATTCTGAGGACCTTGTAGAAGTCTGCAGGTTATAACATTATACATAAAACAAAACAAAAATCAAAATTCTAGATGACTTTGAGCTACAAAACATGCCACACCAGGATGGAACATTTCTTTTAGAAGAATGGACCTATTTATACATTTTTCAATTTATAAATATTTATTATATATATTTATTTATTAAAGAGTTTATTTTTACTGGTATATGAAGACTATACAAAATAAAGCAAACAAAACAACAACAAAATGTCCTTTATTGTTCCATTACATTGTTTTTGTCTTGGGCTGTAAAGAAGACTTCATTATAACCACAGAATAAAACTTTCATTTGTTTTTTAAAATTAAGTAAAGTGTAGGTTATATTTCTATGCAATGACTAGCCTTCTAAACGAACCATGGGTCCCTTTTGGCCTTGAAAAATGTTTTATTGATTTGTTTTGAATTTAATACAGGTTTGAAAGGGAATTAAACATTTTTATTTTATGCTTTTTTTTTTTTTTTTGGTTTTTCGAGACAGGGTTTCTCTGTGTAGCGTTGCGCCTTTCCTGGAACTCACTTGGTAGCCCAGGCTGGCCTCAAACTCACAGAGATCCGCCTGCCTCTGCCTCCCGAGTGCTGGGATTAAAGGCGTGTGCCACCACCGCCCGGCTTATTTTATGCTTTTGATAACATTGATTTTTCAGGCGAGAGCTGTTCTATTATAGAAGATAACTTAAAATGAGAAAAGTCTAAGTGGCCTAGGAAAAATCTTTAGTATTTAGAGCTTATGATATTGAAGTTATCAAATAATATAGTCAATTCATGTTTACTTGTTTTGTAGGCTTCATATGAAAAAAAAAAACCAAAACAGTTTCTTTCACCCCATGTGATCATAGAAAGAATTAGTCCTTGTAGAACCTCTATTAACAATAGCAAGGTCTTAACCACTTGAGTTAGGTGTTCTTCCCATTGGTGCATCCAATATTCATTCATGGTTACTACATAGTAGACACTGTGTTGAGTACTAAGGAATGTGATGATAAAGAGGAAATCATTCCTGCATCGTGGAGCTTAATGTGTGGTCAGAGAAAGTTTTAGAAAACAAGGAGATTAACAATACCCTAAGTGTGAACTGCAATGTACTTCAACAAGTTTTACACACTGGAAAAAAAAGAAGGAGAGAACAGACTCAGAGGATGGATGGTCCAGGGAAAGCTTCTCTAAGGAGGTGAAATTTCTGGTGGACTCAAAACATCAAGAAAGAGATAACCAGGCTGAAAGGTGTAGATAAGGGAAACAATGAATACTCTTTCCTTCAAAAAAAATCTAAGCTCCCTCATGTCCCATCAGTGACTTCAAAGATGTTGATGGCCAGGCAATTTCCAAGGGGAATTTTCCAGGAGAGTTTAACCTCAAAGATACTCATATTTGTATGAAATATGTAACCATTTGCTTTCCAACCCGTTCACACAGATTTTTGTAAGGGAAACAACCAGTTTTTTCTTTTATCTTTTAGTTCTTTTGACACAGGGTCAGTGTAGCTCGAACTGATCTAGAACTTTCTATGTAGACTAGGCTGGCCTTGGACTCACAGATCATAGATCAGCTTAGCAATAAATGTGAGTACTAACCAGCTGATGAGTTTCTTAGGGGAATGGAACCTCTACCAAGCGAAGCTGAGGGAATGGTTTCTGCTCTGGCTGGGATTCTGAGCATTTCTTCCCTTTCTGGTTCTCCCCACATCTCATGCTGTTGTGTAGAGGGATGTGACAGTCTTATTTCCGGGCTCATGCTGCAGCTGTCCTGTTTTGTATCATGAATATCTAAAGTTGACTGTCTGGTTGAGTAGGAAGTTTATTCTCATCAAATTAATTCCCTGCATTGACTACTTCTCTAATAGGGATGCTGTGTAGAGCTGATTTGTCTTACTCTTTCAGACAGGAAGTTGATGGGATTACATCTATATTTTGCAGACTGTGAGATGAATGAGAGTACTAATTCTTATGAATGAAGGAGTTGGAATGGAGGGGATTCAGCAGAAACTAGAATACTAATTGCATGTAAATAATATCTTGGTTGCTTGAATCTAGATCTGAAAAATCTCTCCTTCATAACACAGAGACACAACATTTTCTTCATTACACAAATCAGACATTTTACTGGGCATAGGGTAAACTTTTAAAGTTCATTTAGTTCCTGTAAGAGTGGCCCTAAGCTTATTTCTAGAGCTAGTTACTTGTCCAAGGTTGACTAATCATACATACCATCTTAGTCATAGAATCTAATATAAGGATCAACTAACTGGGTCAAATGAAGCCCTTTTGGGGTCTTCCCGAGACTCCAAAGTAAGACAGGTTTTCTTCTGACATGGCGAGGATTAAGAACCAAGTAAGTTTCCAGTTTCTGGTTCTCAGTGATGACATACATGAAAACCCAAAGCAGAACTGAATTTCAAAACTATGTAAAAGAGGAGTGACAGAGATGGTCTTGGAACCCAAACAAGAACTCTTAATTGTCTGGCGAGATTTTAGAGCCTCCTGTTTCCTTCCCTGCTCCTTTGTTCTTAAGAGAGAGAGTTTTGATATGTAGCTCTACTGGCCTGGATCTCACTCTCTAGACCAGGCTAGTCTCCAGCTTGCAGAAAAGCTTATGCTCCTGCCTCTCACTGTCTGCACTACAGATAGGTGCCACTATGCCTGACTGATCTCCTTCTTTTTAAACCAAAGTGTTGATAGCTTTTACATTGTGACTATCCTATCACTTAATATTGGATATGTCTGGAGTATAAAATTGTCTTTTTAGTTTCACAAGCACACAGATTAAAAGCAACTGAGCTGTAGGAACTCCTATGTACACCCTATGAGTTTCTTTCATACATGAATAGATGTATATAATGACATTTTGGACTTTTAGATGTCAATAAAGCATCAATACCATTGGAGACACCTTGGAGAAGAAGAATTTTATGTTTAATTTCCCTGAATCCCAGCCCAATGCTCGTGCTTTTGTGCAATACCTCCCTGTGAAGTAGGTGTGGGTGCTTCCTAAAAATGGAATACAGAAAAGTGAGGGGTGCTGTACCTATCATGACACATAAAACTCAGTTTCAGTGTATGCTTTCTAGCATTAGGGATTCTCCTTGCTGAATGGATGAGATAAGCACCATGATGGGGAAAGCCAGAGTAGAAATAAGCTTCAGGTGGCCTGTAGGAGCCAAAGATAACATCCAGCTGATAACTAGCCAAAAGCCACACCCCATCCTACAACTGCAAGACATCAATTTCTGCCAGGAATGTTAATATAATTCGATTAATTTAAGGACAATTTCTGTATGCTACAAATTTATGTAAAATTTCAATGTAAAGATTAAAAGATTAATAGCATCAAGATATTTTTGCATGACCCCCAAATCAGATGGACCTAAAGAACCCCCAAATGGACCATTTTAATTCCCGTCTTTCATACTGCTACCCCAAAGGCTTCATCAGGCTACAGTGTAATATTTCAATTATGTGGAAAATATGCATTGCCTTGCATGTGTAGTAATGTACCTATTGAATGTTCTATAAGTAGTAAGTAGAAACATTTAACTTGCATTATTGTTTTGCTGAAAATATCCTACCAGGTTTTCCTTTTATCTTATCACAACCCTGATCATCCATGGCTATCCTAGAATGTGTTCCACTCAACTTTAATTGGTATTTCTAGTTGTTGAAATAGCATAGATTGATCTCTTTCCTGGAAGACCATCCCACCCCACCCCCCACACACACATAGGCGTTGCCTATAGGGCTGAGCTAGGTAGGATATTTTAAGATCATAGCTTTTCTTCATGCAGAGCTTCTGATGGGCAAGGCTGAAATACATCAAACAGTGTCAGCAGGCAAAAAAGTTCCCACATATACTACAAATAGCTTTGATTTGCATCAGATTGAGTAACCTTACATTCAGGTCCCCAAAGTGCATTGAGGTTGTACTACAACCTTGTGCTCCAGCCTTGCTTGGTAGGACCAGTTTGCAGAACAGAAATGCTAGAGAACTAAGACACTATCAAAAAAAAAAGAGCCAAAGAAAATCTTGTAGCTGAAAAAAAGAGACCCCAAAGGCTTTTTCTTGTATTGGAATTCCCTTGCTCCCTTTTGTTAAAACATTTAGCATATCATTGTTCCTCTGTCCATAAACTTCCCTTCTGGTTTGTAGAGCACAAGTTCTCAGAGCATTAACTGTCATTACCATCATCCTGACAGCAGCTGTGACTACTTGCAACGGACCCTCATGGTTAGGCTTGTTGATGTTCGCGCCTAGAGGAAGGGTTGTGAGGATGTACATTAGACCCTCACTTGTATACTTCTCTCCCACCTGTGTGCAATTCCTGAGGTCTCAGATGTGATAGAGTATATAAAGTGTGGAAGGTTAACTAAAAGGGGATCTTTATTTGTGCTGCTGTGGGGAAACCATTGTTCACGCTAGGGCAAGACTCTATGATGGTGTAGCTATTTAGGAGTCATCAAATTTCCTCATATATTGACCCAATAAACTCATTGATTCCCCAAGCTGAACTTGGGTGACGTCAGACTTTGGTCTGTTGGTGCCCTGTCTGGAGTGAAGGGACATTTGTTCACATCTCCCTGGAAAAGTCCACACAGCAGCAGCTTCTGATTGGTTAACACATTTTCTTCCAAAGAGAATTTGAGATTATGTATATTTCTGGCAGCCAGAAATCACTATGTTTTTTTATTTCATCAAGAGCCCCCAGCCCCAATAGTTACCGTTATAGGGAGCAGAGGGCTGTAGAGCCCAGTTCATGCTTACCTAACATGGCAATAATATAGACATTCAGTATTGGCTAAGATGACTAGTGCTGGATATGGGGGTGAGCGTGTGTGTGGGGGGTGTGTGCAGGGATATGAGTCGGCACAAATTGGCTAATACTAGACGCCTGGGGAACCCAAAAGTAAACAATGATGTAATCTGTTATATAACTACTTTTGGCAAAATGCCACTTTAATGTGGGTTCTGTATAAATATGTCCTGAGACTAAGGTTGGGTGCCCTAAGCCTGAGTACTTAAAATATGTTGCATGTGCTTGAGGGTCTAAGCATCTCCTTTAATTTCCTGTTTCCTTTTGACTCCCTTTCTGTCTGTGCCTCCAGAGCTCAGGCTCATCAGATTAATAAGAAAGTCTAAGTTTATAACAATGTGTTTAACAACAAACCAAAATCATTC